TAATTGCGCGTCAACTTGTGAACTGCAGGACACATGAACATCGACATTTCGAACGCACATTGCGGTCCTCGGATACTGTTCCCGGACCACTCCTGGCTGAGGGTCGTATCAATTTAAAAGACTGCTCGGTTTCCTCTCCGATCTCTGTTCGCGTCGTCGTATTATCTCTTTATCCGAGAGACGACGACGACGACGACGACATGAGAGAGGAGAATGAAACGTCGGAGCGTGTTGGATGTAGACGCGGCGGTACGACGCGACGACGCTAGTTATTATATATTTATTTATGTAATATCGTAAACGTCGTCGTCTTTGTCGTCGTCGCGGCATCTCAAAACGCGAAAGCGACGATTCGTTCGTCATACGAACGAATCGTAAACTCACACATAGAACGAACACGCGCGCTGTACGGATAAAAATCGTAATAGCACTACATATATATAATAGATATATATATCTATATAATAGATACATATATCATATCTTAAAAGCAAATATCGATGGTGACGACGCCTAACATTACCACTTGCTTATAAATACCTAATCGTAAACGAATAATACTCGAATTTAATAAAAAAAAAAAAAAAAAAAACATCAACGCACGTACGAGCCGCAGTTGTACATGTATATTTCGATACAAAATTGCTAATTCGTAAATATTCTGTATCCTTTTTATAGTAATAGTGGTGGCCCTGAAAAGGGCCATTTTCAATCCGCGGGGACGTATAGCATCCTCTCGCATAAATATAACGTCTCGAACCGACGTAGCCGTAATCTACGACGTTGCAACACGTCTAAATTTTTTTTTTTATTTCTTCTTTTTGGGTGAAGCGGCCTTCCTTTTTGGCGATGTTGCAGCCTTCGCCGTTTTCGGTTTTGGTGCTTTTGGCTTCTTGGTCGGAGCTCCCTTGCTGGATTTCTTCGCCTTCGAAGGAGATTTTTTTGCAGCCGCTGCAGAAGGTGCAGCAGAAGAAGCTTTAGCCGACGTCGCCGATTTCCCACTTTTCTTTGTCTTAGCTGGAGAAGCTTTCTTCTCGGCCGCACCACCGGCCACCGCCGGTTTCTTAGCCTTCGGAGATGCCTTCTTCGCAGATTTCGCACCGCTAGCTCTCTTAGCTACGGTTCCGCTCTTCTTTGAGCCGGTCGCGGATTTCTTCTTCTTTTCGCCAACCTTTGCGGCTGACGATGATGAAGTTTTCGACGCTCCGCCAGCCGATGACGAAGCTAGCTTGAACGATCCGGAAGCTCCTTTGCCTTTCGTCTGTACTAAAGCTCCAGACGCGACGGACGATTTTAAGTACCTCTTGATGAAAGGCGCAACTTTCTCAGCGTCTACTTTGTAATTAGCGGCTATGTATTTCTTGATAGCTTGCAGAGACGACCCGCCACGCTCTTTTAATCCTTTAATTGCGTTGATGACCATTTCGCTAGTAGGAGGATGAGACGGCTTCGCCCTCGGATTCTTCGGTTTTTTCTCCTTTTTCGCAGACGACTGCGACGTCGGCGACGCAGAATTCGCGGTAGCCGTAGCCGACGCGGCGTAATTCTGGTTTTCCGTATCTGCCATGTTTACGAGTCGTGAAGAGGAGACAGATTATTGTATACGCGCGATCTTTTGCAATCACTGATCGACGATCTCGCTAAGAGAACGAATGTCGAATGAATGTGAGAGGTAAATTCAGCGTCGTGACCCAAGTCATTTCGGTCGGACCGAACATTGAACGCTCCGACTTTGCAGCGAAACCGATTTCGACGGCTTCAATTCTGCCAAGCCTGCGGTCGTATCTGTTGGTTTTTTGAGTCGCTGATATAATTGCATACGAGCAACAGCTAAAACCTGAACGAATATGAAATCTGCATAATTTGAAATACACATTTAACTTCGCGACTTGATCACGTACGCTACGTACACGATAAAATTATAAGGTGAAACGTGCAAGGTATCCGCTTTGGACCTAATCGTCCGGCTTTTTGATCTAATTTATATTATACGAATACGTTATATAATTAGATATTTCATGAAATTAACAATCTACGACTATTCGTAATACAATTATACTGTCGGTATACGGCTAATGGATAAGGTATTTTAGATAATCGCAATTATACGGAGGTATGTCTGGCGTACATCCGAACGTGCACAGTCGCGAAATATATCGCGATAATTTTAACATTACTCCTGTAATATGACAAAATAGATAATAATATGAGACATCAATCTATTATTCGTAATAAATAAGCCAGAGTAGAAAAATATTATATATAATATACGAGCGATCGAGTTATAAATTCATCTCTTACTACATATTAATTATTAGACGTACGCATTACTGACTTTTGATCTACGTGAAAGTACCTAATGTTACGTATTACACGCTAACAGCCTGCCTAAACGCCTAAGCAATATATACGGCAAAATATCTATATTATGTCGAATTATCTACATTATAATCACATGCTACTTATAAGTTATTTTACTTCCATACACATACATACAATTCGTACGTTATTAGAATAATATCAATGTAACGGTTTACTACAAAGCACCACAATCCTTCGATATAGGATAACGGGTAATAACTAGCGACTATCGTATAACCATTTAGCGCTATTTTGCATACACGATAATAGTGTCGAAATTGCACGCGTACAAACAACAATCTGATATACTTAACATAATACACGATCCCCTTTTTCTGAACATACTATATGATGGTTCTGAAAAGAACCGTTTTTTTTTTTATAACCTATTATCGCACGCCGTACTCTCTCTCTCTCTCTCTCTCTCTCTTTCCGGCAAATAGTAAATCCGTCAATTCCATTAGGCACGTTCGCCCCTAATACGTCTTGCCAGCTGTATATCTTTCGGCATGATCGTTACTCGCTTAGCGTGGATCGCGCACAAGTTCGTATCCTCGAATAGTCCGACCAGGTACGCTTCGCTAGCTTCTTGGAGTGCCATTACAGCAGAACTTTGGAATCGCAAATCGGTCTTGAAATCTTGCGCTATTTCACGGACCAGCCGTTGGAAAGGCAATTTTCTGATCAACAATTCGGTACTTTTCTGATAACGACGAATTTCTCTGAGAGCCACAGTTCCCGGACGATAACGGTGAGGTTTCTTAACTCCGCCAGTAGCAGGAGCACTTTTACGGGCAGCCTTCGTGGCTAATTGCTTCCTGGGAGCTTTACCTCCGGTGGATTTACGAGCCGTCTGCTTGGTACGCGCCATTACGTTAAATTTCAGATAACTGAATATAAATTATCTATATAGCAGCGACGTGAATATTGCAACGGACAATATTATAGTGAGCGGAGGTAAACACCGCGAACAGTTATATTTATATGGGCTCGAAATACGAAACAGTCTGATTGGCCAATTGATAGACCAATAGGAGGGACGACAACGCTAACAAAACCGGGCGTCACGAGAGACGTACCGTCAGTTGGCAACAGCCCGTTCGCTTTAACAGTTCGACGTGCGAGAGAATCTTGAAAAATGACTGGACGCGGTAAAGGTGGTAAAGGATTGGGAAAAGGAGGAGCGAAAAGGCATCGTAAAGTTTTGAGGGATAACATCCAGGGAATTACGAAACCGGCCATAAGAAGATTGGCGCGACGTGGAGGAGTAAAACGTATATCCGGATTGATTTACGAAGAAACTCGAGGAGTGCTCAAAGTCTTTTTAGAGAACGTAATCAGGGATGCAGTCACTTACACCGAGCACGCTAAAAGGAAGACAGTCACTGCAATGGACGTCGTATATGCATTAAAGAGACAAGGACGCACTTTGTACGGATTCGGTGGTTAAACACTCCGCAGCAATTACCACGGTACAGGTTGAACGAAAATACAATACAAAGAAAAAAAAAACGGTTCTTTTCAGAACCACCATATACTCTCGTGAGAAAGAATGGATCTGCCGATTGAACCGCCACATTAATTTTCTATTTTTTTTTATACAAAATAAAAAGAAACACTCACATAAATGAGTTTATCGGAATATGAGAAATTGATCGACTTATACGTTTTGGCTCTTTGAATTACAATAATCGACGATTTCGGTCCCGATATGTCCCATTATCGAGATACCGGCGAATATTAGACGTGAATGCGACGATGAGATGCCTCGATTAAATAATTTAGTTATTGCCAACTTCTCGCGCCACAACCGATCCGATATCACCCTGAGAAAATTTTTCCATATACAAATGATAATCCCTTCATTTTCTTATTAAATTACTTGTTGGCCCTGAGAAGGGCCGATTGTATGTTCAGAAGATTTTTTTTTTTAGGCTTTCTTCTCCGTCTTTTTCGGCAAAAGAACAGCTTGGATATTAGGGAGAACTCCTCCTTGGGCAATTGTGACGCCTGAAAGCAATTTGTTCAATTCTTCGTCGTTTCTGATGGCCAATTGCAGATGACGTGGAATAATACGGGTCTTTTTATTGTCGCGAGCAGCGTTGCCTGCCAATTCCAAAACTTCAGCGGCCAAGTATTCCATAACGGCCGCTAGATATACGGGAGCTCCGGCACCGACGCGTTCAGCATAATTCCCTTTTCGCAATAACCTGTGGATACGACCGACGGGAAATTGTAGGCCGGCCCTGCTGGATCGGGACTTTGCCTTTCCCTTAACTTTACCGCCTTTTCCGCGTCCTGACATATTCAATTTGTTAATCTGCTAAACGAACGACGTCGACTATGAACTTGCAAATGCACAACATGATCTCCGCGAACGTTGTATTTATATGAACTAACCGACCAATCGACGCGAACGTTTGCCGGCAAACGCCTGGGGGCGGAGTCTACGGTCGTAACGTCACCTGTCTTAAATACGGCCAGAGAATTGCAGTCGTTCCGTTAGTCGAGCGTTGGTGTCGATTATACTCAGCATCATCTCACAATAAAATGCCACCCAAAACTAGCGGTAAGGCTGCCAAAAAAGCGGGCAAGGCGCAGAAGAATATCTCAAAATCTGACAAGAAAAAGAAGCGCAGGAGGAAGGAAAGTTACGCAATTTACATCTACAAAGTACTGAAGCAGGTACATCCCGATACGGGTATATCCAGCAAAGCGATGAGCATCATGAACAGCTTCGTCAACGATATTTTCGAACGTATCGCTGCGGAAGCTTCCAGATTGGCACATTACAACAAACGTGCCACGATAACTAGCAGAGAAATTCAGACAGCCGTACGACTATTGCTACCGGGAGAATTGGCCAAGCACGCAGTCAGCGAAGGTACCAAAGCCGTCACCAAGTACACCAGTTCAAAATAATATAGACGTTGTATTCGCTTCGACGGTTATACGGTTCGAAAAATAAGAACAAAAAAAAAACGGTTCTTTTCAGAACCACTATGTTATGATAAAATGCAAAATGATAATTAGCTGTGGTCGTTATTTTAATCTTTTCATCTATCTCTCTCTCTCTCTCTCTCTCTCTCTCTCTCTATATATATATATATATATATATATATATATATATATATATATATATATATATATATATATGTATAGAAGAAGTCCGTAATATCTGGAAGATGTCACCTGTATCACTGCACTGGGAAACAGTACCGTGATCGTAGGTGATCTAAACGCGAAGTCCACCATTTGGGGCTCAAGAAACAGAAACAGTCACGGCGCTGTTCTGGAAAGACTAATGGATGAACCTGGATATACCATGATAGGTCCGGACGAACCTACAATATACCCCAGCAACGGAGGTAGACCAGACGTCATAGATATGGCGATTCTGAAGGAAATCGACATGCGCACCACCATCGGCGCCATGCAAGAGGGAAGCTCAGACCACAACCCCATCTTTCTCTGTACGGGAGATGGGATAACACCTGTGGAACAAAGAACAGTGAAGAGAGTGAATTGGCAGCGGTTTAGAACCAGACTGCACTATTCACAAGGACCACTACTACAGATCGAAAGCCCCGAAAGCATAGAAGAAGCGGTCACGGACCTAGAAAGGAAGATTAAGGCTGCGTTAGAAGCCGCAACCACCGTGGAAGACATAACGCAACCAAACAGGTTCAGGGACCTACCTGACGAGGTAAATCGCAAGATCACCGAAAGAAACAGAGCCCGAAGAGTAGCCCAGGAGACCAGAAGCCCCACTGACATCATGGTGGCAAACAGACTTATGAGACAGGCACGAGACGCCTTGAAGCAGCACCATCAGAGCACCTGGGATAAGAAACTCGACGAACTATCTCCAGCTGACCCAGGAATGTGGAACTTGGCTAAAATCCTCAGAAATAGAAGACAGCCCATCCCCCCAATACACAGCGAACAGGGGATGGTGTACACAACCGAAGAGAAGGCGGAAGCTTTTGCTGACAACCTTCAGAGACAGTGTACTCTCAATACTCACCCCGATGAAGACGAAGACTTCATCGACGAGGTGATGAGAAGATCGAGGAGAGCTGTCAGAGGAGGAAGAGCCATCGAAGACATGCCCTCTCCAGGCGAGGTAAGGGAAATCATCGAAAGACTCAAGGTGAAGAAGGCACCGGGTGTAGACGATATTGGGAACAGAGTCCTGAAGAGACTCCCGAGGAAAGCGATAATGGCAATTACCAACATCGTCAACGCCATACTGAGACACCGGTACTTTCCAGATCACTGGAAAGTAGCCGAGGTGATCAACATTCCTAAACCTGGGAAAGACCCAAGGTTCCCCCAAAACTACAGACCCATAAGCCTGTTGACGGCACTGAGCAAGATTGCGGAAAGGGTAATCGAACGAAGACTGAAGAACGAAACCGAAGAACTCCGAGTAGTTCCAGACGAACAGTTCGGATTCCGATGCGGGCATTCAGCAGAGCACCAGGTCCTAAGGCTGGTCGAGATGGCAACGAAATCGTTCCAGACTCGGCGGGCCGTGGGAGCTGTGTTCATGGATGCCGCAAAGGCGTTCGACACTGTTTGGCATGACGGACTGATCTACAAGATGGTAGACCACGGATACTCAAAGGGGATGATCCAACTGGTGAAGTCCTACTTGAAGCACCGAAATTTCCGAATTAGGATCGGTAAAACAACCTCGACGACGAGGACTGTGGAGGCAGGAGTACCGCAGGGAGCGGTTCTACCACCCCTGCTGTATCCAATCTACAGCTCAGACATCCCGAAGACTCCTCAAACGCAACTGTATGTGTATGCGGACGATACAGCATATGCGGCAGAAAGTACGAGACCCCGCATGGTTACGGAATATCTGCAACGAGCGACCACCAACCTAGAGGAATGGTGCATCAAGTGGAAGATCCGCCTCAACCCCGAGAAGACCGAAGCGGTACTGTTCCGAAGAAATCGAAGATTACCTCAGACCAAAATAAAGATGACGACCACCAGAATGGAGAGAGGCTGGAGAAGAGATGAAGAGGTTGAGGTCGACTGGAAAGACTCCAGCACATACCTTGGAGTCAAGATGGACCAGAAACTCACTTGGAAGAACCATGTCGAAGACCGGGTGCAGAAAGTGAAGATGGCACGCTCCAAACTAAGACCCTTAACGGGCAGAAGAAGCAAAGTGTCACTAAAGAATAAGACCATCATGATTCAGATGGTGCTGCTACAAATCATGACTTACGCAGCAGTAGCTTGGGGCTACGTTTCCAAAACGATGAAGAAGAGGCTCCAAGCTCAACAAAACATGGCACTCCGTGAAGCGGTGGACGCACCGTGGTATGTACCTAACAGAGTGCTATATGACGAACTACGACAGGTACCGGTCGTAATCCAGATGAGAGAGAGGGCCAGAAAGTTCTTTGAAAAGAAATGTGCTGATTGAAGCCGCCTTGGATTACGACCCAAGAACAATAAGGCGTCATAAAAGACCGAAAAGCCAGCTGCAACAAGAAGATATTTGGCCCTAGCAGCTGATCAGGCCAAAGAAAAGGGGAGAAGACCGACAATAGTTGTACACCCAAGAGGGGAAAGAACAGCCCGTGTACAACGGGTGGACAAAAAGAAGCCTGTCGATTGAGGTGGCCAGAGTCAAGCACGGACTCGGGGCTAACCTCAGGAGACGAATGACTTACAAATATGACTGACTGACGACGACTGACTGACTCCAGTCGACGAGGAAAGAGCGAAGGCTCACCAACCTTTAGGAGGGGCTTAGGTCGAAAGCCCCCAGCGCAGGACCCCCAAGAAAAGAGGCCGGCCATAAAGTCGAGAACCGACAGTTGGAAGAAACGTCCACCACGCGCTTCCGCGACGCGTGCGCGATCGAGTCAAATTTCGGGAAAAAGGGGCAAAATTGGGGAAGGGGGGATAGCTCGTTCGGCAGCACACACTCGGGGAATGCGCAAGCGGCCTGAACCACGCAGCGCCACTCCAGGCCTTTGGGCGGGAGTGGGGGGAGGAGCTGATTGCTCTTCCCCCCACTCCTCAAGGGTTTGAGGTTGCCTGGAACAGGGGTGGTGGAGGGACCGCACAGGGTAGGAGGGTGTGTGTGTGTGTGTGTGAAGACCGTAGCAGAAGAAGAAGAAGAAGACGAAGACCGTTTTGTAAAATAACAAAATTAAGTAACACAATTTTTTTTATACATTTATAGCCCATAAGTAACAGCAGACCGAATATATTGCCAACGGAAAATCCTTTTTATTTTGGTATTCTGAGTTTAATTGATGTTAACTGCCCAAAATTGATTACTTATCGTTTATTCCTTTCCCCGCGGATCGGTGTATGGTAACTTGTTCTAACAGTTAATAGTATTAACGGAGTGTCATTGTTTTTATTGTTCAACAGCGAAATCAGTCAACATAAGGGTATCCACGATTTCCGAAGGTTAATACAGGGTGTCCGCAAAGTTGGGCTTTTCCTTTTCAGAAACAACTACCCTTGAAATAACAAAGGTAATGCGTAGTGAAACGAGGGCCGACCATGTAAAAAAAATATATAAAGGAAAAAGTACTCACTCTCCAGTTGACCCCATTACGTGTGAACGTAGATTCGTCTGTCACCAATATGCACTTCAAAAAGTCCGGATTATTGTCATGTTGATGCAACAACCACTCACAAAACCGCACTCTTGCTGGAAAATCGTCAGGTTGGACGTTTGCCACACTCTAGTTTGTGATACTCGCACTTCTCTAGCCACGTCTCTAGTGCTTGTTGAGGGATTCTCGTCTACGCGATTCAGTAGTTCTTCCTCAACTAGCACCATTCGTGGTTGTCTAGACCTCCCACTGTGCCCACCTCGATATTCCTCCAAATGGCCCGTATCCCTGACTCTCTGGACCGGGTACACAAATCTGCGGGGCCTTGGATGATGTCGTCTAGGGAAAAGATCTGCATACACTCGCGACGATTCTGTATCATTTTGAAGACGTTCATTAATAAATTAACAACATATCAACGAGTTCATTATTGGTATATGAGTGTGCCATTATTATTATATTTATTATACCTCTATACGCGTGACCCTTTACCGTCGGTTGAAGGTTGCATACTGACCTGACACTCGGACCCCCACCCCCGACCCAGTTCTGTCGTCGGGTTCAGCTAGTAGCCGGTACCTGTCTGGGGCATCGCGGCGGGTGGCGGCTACAGGACGGTATTCAGATATTTTTGATGTTGCAGAGCCCTTTATCTCGGTTCCCTTAAGATATTGGTGTATATGGCACTAAGAAAAATTGCTTATGTTTTCAAGATCTACACGTCGTGTAAAGGATAACCCCAACTTTGCGGACACCCTGTATAATAGAATTAGAACCGTTCGATGTATATATTCTTTTCAAATTACAGTTTTTCGATAACACAGCATAGCATGTCCATATATGTATATATATATATATATATCATATATATATATATATATATGATATATATATATCATATATATATATATATATATATATATATATGTATATATACACGTACATAAACATAGAATCACATGTTTATGTACGTGTATATATACATATATATATATATATATATATATATATCATATATATATATATATATATGTATATATACACGTACATAAACATAGAATCACGGAAACGAAATGTAGTACATCGTTATTCGAATATTCGTACATTTTCGAAGTTCGCTCAAGTATATACTTTCGAGACTACAACTGGAATATTAGTCGAAATATTAAAGATCTACACACTTTCCAATATGACGTTGAATCACTGACCGGACGTACAGCGATATCGGATTGTTCGCCTGCGATAATAGTATGGCCGCTATTAATGGGAAATGTATTTAAAAAAACTTCTACACAATTTCCGATATGACATAGTGTTCCA